GTTCGATTTTATTATCACTTATCGACCTGGAAAGCAGCAAGGACTATCTGATGCCTTATCGAGGAGATCGTATCTTGTATCAAAGGCTGGAGAAGCAACGTTTGATCAACAATGTACGACATTGTTGAAGCTAGAGCAATTTCAACTTTGCGCTACTATTATGCCAATTGATGCTGACTTCCTGAATCAGGTACGTGCCGTAACCATTGAAGATTCAGTAGCCATTGATATTAAGCAGCGTGCCAATGACGACAAGTTCAAGGTGGAGAGAGATCTTTTATACTTTGAAGAGCGGTTATATATCCTAAAAGGACCAGCACGACTCCGAGTTCTTCAATCTCGCCACGATTTTCCAGCTGCGGGACATTTTGGATTCAACAAGACCTTGGAGCTTATTTCTTGAGATTTTTGGTGGCCTCAAATGTGGAAGGATGTGAAATATTTTGTCCTCTCCTGTGACATCTGTTCAAGATCCAAGAATCCTCGGCATCGCTCTTATGGACTCCTACAGCCATTGCCGATTCCACGTCGACCATGGTCTTCAATTTCCATGGACTTCATCACGGACCTACCATCATCGAACTCATTTGACAGCATCTTTGTCGTGGTAGATCGGCTTACAAAAATGGCACACTTTGTCCCTTGCAAGAAGACATCGTCCAGTGAAGTCACAGCAAGGCTCTTTCTCGATAATGTGTATCGATATCATGGACTACCAGATGATATCGTATCAGATCGAGGAACCCAGTTCGTATCGAAGTTTTGGAGATCTCTCTTTGAGATACTGAAGGTGGATATCAAGCTTTCTTCGACTTTTCATCCTCAAACTGACGGTCAAACGGAACGGGTGAACCAAGTCTTGGAACAATACTTACGATGCAGCATCAACTATCAGCAAGACGATTGGACCACATATCTGCCGCTAGTCGAGTTTGCATATAATAACACCCTCCATGCGTCGACTCAATACACACCATTCTTTTCCAACTATGGGTATCATCCAAAGTTTGATTTATTGAGTCCATCAACAAATAACAATCCAACAGCTGAAGGATTTGCAAAACAACTATCAGAGCTTCAAAATACGTTGAAGCTTCAATTACAATCTGCTCAAGAATCCTATAAGGCGTCTACAAATAGATTTCAGAATCAAGCACCTACTTTCAAAATTGGAGATAAAGCATGGCTTTTTCGACCGAATATCAAGACCAAGCGACCATGTGATAAGTTGGACTATCGAAGATTGGGACCATTTATCATCCAAAAGCAAATCAATCCAGTGGCGTACCGTCTGGAATTACCGGCTTCTATAAAGGTACATCCAGTCTTTCATGTTTCTTTGTTGGAGCCTTATCGAGAGTCATCTTTTCTTGGAAGAGTGCAATGTCCGCCACCTAGTATTGAGATCGAGAACCACGAGGAATACGAGGTTGAAAAGATGCTGGATTCTCGGCGAAGGTGGAGCAAGTTGGAGTATCTTGTTCATTGGTGCGGCTACGACATTAATGAGCGAATGTGGGAGCCAGCTGAAAATCTCACCAATGCACCGCAAAAGATATAGGAGTTTCATCAACAACATCCTCATAAACCTAAGCCGGTTCGACAATAGCTTCTTTCTGAAGCTTGCTCACCCAAGAATATAAGAAAGGGAGAAAGGACTACCAAAATTCGTAGTTGATGTAGTTATTTTCTCCAAGATAAAATAGAATTTTTTCAGTAACCATAGTTTGGTCTTCTGATATGGATAGCCAAGAGATAGATACTATGCCAGTCAGATTATCTCAACCAACTAGTTCACGAAGGCGACCCCGAGATGAAGAACCACCTGCACCACGATGACGACGGAAGATACCAAGTAACCGATGACTGGTGATTGTATTAGAGTCCGAGCCTGCTTACGATGGTCAACCAAAAGGCATATTTACAGGACAATTTCACAATGAAGACACGGAAGTTCATGCTTGGTCAGAAGTTGAAGGAGTGGGCCACTACCGTTGGCTTCAAGGACCGATGAACCACTTACCTTGTAAACAACAGTTGGAGTTCATAACAGACGTTATGCGACAGATCTTCATTTTCTTGCGTTGGTACTGATTGACAACAACATTGCTTCTCAAAGACCTCGAAGCTAAAGGAAGGGGTGATGTTAGGGACATAGTCCTTAGAACCTTCTAGAGACAAGTTTCTAGAACCTTCTAGAGACAAGCTTCTAGAACCTTTTAGAAGCAAGTCTCTAGAAGCTTCTTAGTTGGTAGAAGATGTTAGGAACATAGTCTTTAGAACCTTCTAGAGATAAGTTTCTAGAACCTTCTAGAAGCAAGTCTCTGGAACCTTCTAGAAACTTCCTAATTGGTAGAAGTTGCTTAAGAAGCTTCCTAAATAGGAGTATATATTGGAATCGAGACTGAAGAGTTCTTCATTCTTGACAACACATCTCTTGGAGCTCTAGCTCACCTCTCTGGTGTTGTTCTTGTATTCATCTGATTAATCTAGTTCTTGCCAGTTCTTCTTGAACTTCTTGGTAGATATCAAGTCTGTATTCTGTGTCCGTGACATCCATAGATAGCTTCATTGTTATTGTGGAGTAGTTTCTTCATTCCATTTTTGTCACTAAAAAGTGAGATTTTGGTTGTACATTGCAATACTCTTAATTTCAAAAAAGACCTATAGCTGAGGTCATGTTACATATTAAGTTACAAAGAATAATGCATGATCTAAATACAAAGTAACATACACATATTAGATCTAAATGATATCATTGATGTTACTTTGTAATCTGAACACAAAGTAATATGCTTTGAATGAACAATGGCAAGCCAAGTGTAGAAACAACTAGCAACAAAGGTGTATCAACTTTGAAAGTGTTTGCGCATGGTTGTATCACTATAATGGTTTGTTGATTTTGTCACAATCGAATGTTTGGTTCAAAATTGGCATTACTTCAACCTCAAATTTCAATAAGAAGGATATGGTAAGGTCACTCCTACTTACATATTCATTTAGATGACAATAAGCTTTTTTGACATTGATTCTATTTTCTATATGCACAAGTTTTTCATAATTTTTTTGTCTCAAATTCTTTTCAATTAGAAGATGCAATACCTGTGAGATATTAATATTTACGAAACTAAATTCAAAATATTGAGTTTTTTTTTATCATTCATCGATGTTTTTACTACAGCTTAAGATAAAACAAAGCACAACAAAAGGTCCATGGTTTTTTCTTATATAAAATGTCAAGCCTCTAATCTTCTAGCTTTTAGAATGTGAAAATAGTAGGTTGTTATCAAATGATAGGTGTCACAAAATGTATCTAGCACAGTAGATAGGTTATTTACTTAGTATCCAAGTCTTGAAGTAGTACCTCTTACAAGCTTAAAAAACACCTTTAGATCTCATCAATGTTACTTTGTCATTGCTCTAGAGTATAGTAGGTAGTTCGAGCCATTTGCAAAGAAAGAGAAGAATCTTGATAGAAGAGGGATGAGCTCTTCTTCTTTATTCACAATGATGGCTTTTTTTTTTTTGCATAATAAAACATTTAAGTTGCTTGTGACAAATAAGATTTGGAAGTATAGGCACCAACTTGAAAACTATCATATTTTTTTGTGATGTTATTCATGCATCAATTTAATTGTAGATGCATGAATAACATTCACAATGAAGGCTTTTCTTATTGAGTATCAAACTTACAAGAGGTGACAAAGTTTATCAATGCTGCTAATGAAACCAACTCAATCACTATAGTAGCCAAAGAAGGAACTCAATTACAACTATTAAAGCCTCCAAAAGGAATTAGCAAGGCGGCACCATCAGCAAATAGGCCCTCCAAAGAACTATCAAAGAAGTAGATTTTTAGTTTTTTGTACTTTTTTAGTGGTTTTTATTTGCCATTCCAAATATTTTTCATAATTCATTTAGTATATTTTCATTGGTATATAGAAATTTTCATTGGTATATGAATGGTAGTTGCAATACATAATGTGTAATCCCTAATAGCAACATCTAATGATAATTTAGTGAATTTTTGCATATTATCTATGACAATGACAAAAATTCAACTATTTGGCATGGATTTAGCAAAGAGTGGTTCTTAGGAATGATCAATTTTTGACTTAGCAACCACAAATTAAACTTTTACACTTTTTTTTGTGGCAAACAATGCAAGTTTCTGCTAGTATTTTATTTATAAGTATTATATTTTTATTTTTTATTTTTTTAAGTTTTCAAAAATATCTTTGTTAAAAGTCTTATTAGATGGGTTTTAGATTTAATAAGTTGCAAATGGCTTTGATTGCTATGGTCCATGAAAAGAACAAAAGATTTCTATTTGTAAGTTTTATTCTTATTCAAAATATTTGTAACAATTAGGTAGTAAAAAATTAATATCATGATATAATTGCTCACACTCATTATTTCTAAGACTGACGTTTTAGCCACCAATTGCAACACACTCGAAAGGAGAAAAAAAGTTTAGTCATGAATCTATCTAATAAAAGGAAATAACAATGAAATATTATCTCTACAGGCTATTGTTGCAAAACTACTCAAGTTTTCATATACGACTGACATCATTTAAAACAAACTAGCAATAAATTACAAGAAATATCAAAAGGTTCAACTAATAAAATAAATCATACAAGACAAAGATCAGCTTCAATGGAGGATATTCGTCCAACTGACGTAACTCTAAGATATCAAATCATATTGCCTTGCAATCTTGAAGCTGATCATAAGCGTTAGGAAGTCGGTTGTTGATGTACATTGCCGGCTGCTCCCAAATTGATTTAAGAGCCTCCACATTTCATCACAATCGTGCGGATGTAGGTCCTCATTTCCTTTCCTCAAATATGAATTTTATTGAGCACGGTACAAGGTTAGGACGTAGGAGGAAAAGTACAGTCAGGTGTGTTATTATAGAACTGTGCAAAGAATTAAACAAAACAAAAGAAAGACCAGTAATCCTTCCATGCAATGCAGATTCCAAAAGATTTCGCAAGGAAAAGAGTTGAGTAATTCCACATGGATAATTAAATAAGATAATACATATAGTACATGAATAGAACCCACATCTGTAGGGTCATTAGTAGACTAAGGGCTACTTGTCAATCCTACATCATTGTGGGGTCCACAACTGTCAGCTGCATATACCGAGTGAGACCTCGGGGTACTAGCTGTTAGGCCCCGAGGGTAGAGTGGCATCTCTAACAGTTTGCAAGACGTCGTAGTTGATGGATGCCAGTTGCGACAAATTCTATTCGATACACACCCAATGCAATTTGTTAAGTGCTAGAAATGAGGTATATTTTCAACTGCCAGCAGTGAGAGATATACAATAGCTGCAAAAAGGTTTGCAGGGTTATAGTGGAACAAACCTTGAATGAGAAGTTGCTGAAAGAGAACCTTGATGAAGGAGTAACTTCGGACAAATCACGACCATCATCTCGATGTAGAGGACCAGCAACATCGACTAATTCCTGCATTCCATACCAGATAGTACGCATACATTTAGAGACTACTTTGGAACTAGACTATTCAAAAAATCCTTGTTACGGTTACAAGCATGTTAACAGACAAAGATATAATTTTCACGATAATTCAGGAGCATTTAAACTGGACATTAAATGTTGCAAGAATCTAGAAACTTTGAGGCAGACAAGTTTTGAATTTGTTACTAACGTCTTCCGGCCTATCTGAGGAGCTTGTGCTTCTTCCACTGGCACTAGTCTCGTAAGAAAGACTTTCACCACCAGGATCAGCAAATAGGCGCGTTTCTGCCGAATTCCAACACTGACGAGATGTGAAGTAACTCGTATCATGAGCATTGTCCACGCTTGGGACAAAGGCAGCCTGTCAGACACATAATTTAGGTTTAAGTGTTTACACGAGGAAATAAAGGACAAAAGACCTTTCTCACAAACCAGTCTTAGGATTCGAAGATTAAGGTTAGGCTTTGGTTTATATTGTCTCAAAAACTGGAGATTTGACTAAAAAATATCAAGAAAAAATGGCCGAAGAAGAGGACGTTTACCTTTTGCATTGCCAAAGTCTCCCAGTTGATGTCTTTAAAGAAGCGGTGGGCTTTCACCTGCAGTTTGAATCAAGAATCAGAACTCTACACCTTGACTAGGATACTTACGCTTGAAAGTAACAATCAAGGTGGACAACTCCGCGTTCACTCCCTGATTAAAAAATACTAAGTTTAACCTAGATAACTAAACAAGTATTTACCTCTGCAGCACCATTGGCTCCAAGCCGAGAGTCAGGATCCTCTGTCAACAGTCTGCGTCACAAGTTCACAACCAGAGCTAGTCAGAAATTTCAGAAAATTAGAGCAGACTGGCTTTCAAATTGAAGGATGAATTCAATCAGTAAACAACTTATTCCGTGGGCACCGTCACAAGTAGACACAAAAGAACCAGACCACTCAATAACGATCGGAATCAAAGAATGATGACTAAGAGCAGAAGGTCACAGCCGAATACCAAATATGTTCCACAACTCGGTACTCAACAGGATTGAAAAATACCTGTCAATCAAATCTTCAGCGTCGTACGACATTTCATCCGGAACGACAGGCCAAGGAATGTTGCGATTCAAGATGTTGTCGAAGATAATCTGAACCAGAAAAGCAGGCATTGGTTATTGGGTTGTGCCACGCCGCGGTTTTGTGGTTAAACTTAACCACACCAACTTTTATAATCCCCTGAATAAAGAGCACATCTACTAAAAATCATGATGATAATTCTATGGCGCTTAAAAGAACATAAAATTAATACTAATGTTTAAATGTGAGCAATGAGAAGGAATAAGAGGCACTTTACTAATTAAATATTAAGCTTCTGACATGGATCACATGAATTCCTTGTTAAATTTATACCTCACTAGTTAATCGTCCAAGGGGCATCTGCAATAGGAAAATGGAGCAGGGATGCTAGGCATGAGATGCCTTCTAATACTACTGGTGAATCAATTTGGCTTCACAAGTTAACTTAAGTGCGCGAAAAAACAGTTTTGTGAAGTAACCAATACCTTTGGAGGGTGGAATCGAGAAATTCTTACAAATGGTATGATGCATGTATTTTAAGATAGAAAGTGTTTCCAGTCAATCTCAGCATGTAGAAAATATTACCTGTGGATGCTCAGCATTAAATGGAGGGATTCCGGTAAGCATTTCAAACAAAATTACGCCAGTGGACCACCAATCAGCAGCATTTCCTATGCATAAGATTAGTCCACGATAAAAATTATGTATTCAAACATAAGAGCACTTTCACAAGAACCTGTTAAGATGGAGAAGGTACATAAATATCATGATGCGAGAGGTTATAAAACTTATTTGATCAAAGTTCAATCAAATGACATTGCCACAGTAGCTTGATCAAAACGTTGGAGATCGCTCTTGTATAACAATTCATTTATTACCATGAGAATTTCCAAGAAGAATTTCTGGAGCTAGATAGTCAGGCGTGCCAACTGCAGATCGTTGTTGACGTCTCTCCCTCTGCTGTGGTAGCTCCCCACTTACAATTCTATGATGGTTAGCAATATCTTCCATAAGAGTGGATCCGCCTACTGGAGGCCCTGAAAGATCGTCTGTACTGTTTATAAGACCAACTCTTGATAGGCCAAAATCAGTGAGCTGCCAAAAAAAAACCAAATGTCAGTACTCATTCCTACTCCTTCAATGACATAGTAGCAGAGGGGAACTCAACCATACACAGATATTACGATGAATTTGTGTCAACAGAAGAGTGACATAAAGCATTTAAAGATACTTCTTGAGCACTAAATGCATTAACATATACCTTGATGTGCCCATCATGTGCAATAAGAATGTTGTCTGGCTTTAAATCACGATGCACTATGCCCAAACTATGAAGATACTCAAGAGCCAACACCTGTAAAAACGCACAGGTTTCATGCATTGCTCACTTGACTTTGCCAGAATGCACCTTCTCGAGTAATTAATCCTAAAATGACTTCCCCTCCAAAACATTGAACGCTATTTATCAAACAAACTGCACCTTGTTCACAAACCATGCTGCATTAAATATACAATGAGAATTAACTCGATCCTTTCAAACCAACATGACGAAGTTAGTTAGCAACTTACTAGCTCTGCAATATACACACGGACCAATTCTTCATCCAAGCAACCCATATTTCGTAGCAAAGAAAATACATCTCCTCCGTTCAGATATTCCATGACCAAATATAGATTTTCACTGCATGTGAATGAATAGAAAAATCGGACCTGGAAAAGAAAATTACATCAAACCAAAACAAGATTCGGGCATGAGATGTCCATGTAGCGGCGTGGAAAACCAAAAATTCATCAGCGTCGGTAGATTCAATAGGAAAATAAATGGATTTACCACAAAAGGGTTTCGAACAGAAATAAGAATATTCCGTTCTGCCCGAACACTTTCTACAGCATTCTTCCGAATCATGTCTGCTTTCCGAAGGACCTATTCACATAGAAAAAAACAGCGGAGATGTTGAGTCTAGCAGGCCAGAAAATAATGAATCACACTGAACGACTGTCAAAACGGCAGTAAAAAGTTGGACAGCTGCAGTTTTAAGGAGAAGAAGCGATCAAATGAGTAAAACCTTTCAGAAAACGAAATAAATTACAATCACCACGATAACAGCCATTTCACGTCAACCTCTTAAAGAAGGTACTACGACAGCTCAAAATCACACTACAGCTTTCACATTCATTACAAGACCACATCAAGGCAACTGCTTGTGGATGAATATAGCAAGGAATAGATTCTAACCTTAATTGCAAAAAGGTCTCCTGTGATCCGCTTTCTGGCCAGAAATACTCTTCCAAATGCACCCCTACTAATAGGCTTAATGATCTCGAAATCATCAATAGTTGTTCGATCTTTGTGGGATTGGTAAACGGGCGTTCTTGAGGCCTGATGTCGCTCTTCATCCAAGGAAAGATTTTCTACGGTTGAATGCAGTGGACTTTCGGAATTGTATTGCCCTGAAAATTCTAGAAACGACTGGTACTTTTCCCTGCAACAAAATAAATAGCAACACATTGATGATGAGGATCCTTTGCCTCAGACCTACCCTCAAAGAAACTCCAATAGTTCCAGAATACCGACAACTACAAGGCTGACAATAGTTTTTATTTTCTAGTATTCATAATCTTGTACAACACAGGTAGCAACCATTCATCATCTCTTCTGGAAAGATATTGCCCCTCACTGTTAGATACAAGAGATAAGGCCCAACCTGCAAAGCTTGTCTATCCGTCTACCAAAAGTGTCAACAATAAGGGCATCCACTTTATTCTGCTGCAGTACATCCTTCAGAACTTCCATCCATGAAACAATGTACTCAGCAGTCTTTTGGTGACTATAGTTGGTGTCGGCAACGCAAATGGCTATATCTACCAACTCGTTGATCTGCAAATCACGCAGAAACTATTAACTTGGACAGTTCCTCAATCGCAAGCAATGAGAAAAAGAAAAGTAAAAACAATACCTTGAACATATAGCATCACCATCCCGTACATCCAGCTGCAAATGAAATCTTTAGAAGGCCTAGTAACCATACTGAATAGCTGAATAACTTTAGCTAGCTTCAACAACCAAGGTAGAGAATGTAGAAACCTGTTGGGGGTCCTCATACTCTACTAAGCTGGTTTTATCGGTCAACAGAATGTCAATATGGCTGTTCTTGGGAGTTGCAAGAGGAGACCGTGGTGTTAAGCTACCAACTGACGATGACGGGCAAAGTAAGCTCCCGACTGAAGACGCAAACGCTGTAAACGGATCAACCTTGGGTCCGAACCGGCTCTTACAAGCTATAGCATTGAAAACTTTAGGATCATCCATAATACTTGCAGCATCAATTTCATGTAAATCCTCGAGCATGTCCTCTGATCCCCTGCGGAGCAACTCACCACCCCCACGTTCCATTACTGCAAGCTTTTCTGGAACTGAAGTAATTTTCTCTGTCAGGTAGTTTTCTGCAAAATCAACAGATTCGGACAGCATACATGAGGCTGTAGTTTTTTGTAGAGACATATGTTCAAATTCCGAAACTTTATACTCCTAAACCTGACAAAATAAAATAAAATAAAACAAATAAAGCAGAAAAAAAAAAAAAAAACTCCCTCCACAACGAAAAGACCCAACATACCATTATCACCACCATAGGTTAACGTCTTGGCTGTGTCAGGGCTGGCACTAGCAGCCACGGCAAAACTTTTTGGAGTGTAAGATTCCAGAATACGCTCCAGAGTCCCTGCTAATCTCCGCAGCCGTTCATCAACTCCTAACCCTTTGTGGTCACACCTATCAGCGAAAGCACAAACTCGAGAATGCTCTTCCAGGTGAACGGTGGGAACCTCTTCTTCACATATTCTACAAATCACCATCGGTTTCTCACTGTACAGACGCTTTACTGGTGTCGGCTGCATCGGCCTTAAATTGTATGTCGTAGCTGGGGGGGAACCCTTCTCAGGAGTAGATTGTTTTACCGACCCATGCTTCTCCTTGTCAAATTTCTTCCAAGAAGCGGGCTTCTCCATAACAATCGTATCTGGATGATCTGTGGTTTCATGCTTGGAATCTGGAGATTTCGGAATTCGCAAATCGGTTTTCGATTCTGACTCTCTAATTGATTCCAAAGGTGGCTTAGTGGGAATTTCATCTTTGGGTCGTCTTGGAACATCAATTGGCCGAAAATGATCTTGTAGAATTTTCCTTTTTACAGGTTCACTAGCAGGTACTTTCGGAATGTCCACTGGGTGCCAAAACCTTTCAACCTTTTGTAATCGAAGAAGATCCAATTCAAGGAAATTCCGTTTCTGATATTGTAATAAACGCGTGCAGCGTGTCAGAATGAACAGCATTCGAGTATGGTATCGCTTAAGAATACCCATAGGGAGCTCTTGTCTCTTTTCGTCCAACTCGTGCACGATGGCTTCACACTCTTTGCGAAATTGCTGAGGGTCCATCATCGCACATTTTCTTGCTAAAACCAGCAAATCTTCCGCCCCTTCTTGCCAGTCTGGTACCGTACCAGCGTTCTTCTCTAAAGCCTCAAGAAGGTCACCAGCAAAAACCGCAAGCTCGCCATTGACTTCCTCTTTTGCAGTGTTGAATCTTGCTTTCAACGTTTGCACAAGCTCCTGTCAGAAAACGCTGACAAGTGAGGAGGTTGCCTCATACATTAATTGCCCAAGCATAAATGCAGGGCTCAGAAATTATCTGGTTAATGTCATCCAGGAACCACTTCAACGGCTTTGCAACAAACTTCGACTATTTTAACGTTCAAGTTCGCTTGTCCATAGGTTTTACATGCTTGTTTTATCGAGATCGACGCATTCGTAGCTGATACGAATCAAGTTCTGAATTGCTGTCTAGTACCAATAATTTTTAATTGAAAAAAAAAAACAAAACAAAACAAAACAAAAGGGGAGAAAAGGAAATTTGGTTTGGTATAGAGAAGCTGCAGAAAGAGCACACCTGTAAGTCATTAAAACCGCCTAGATTTTGGGGCCGGAAGAACTCATGCGACCGAAGTCCACGCGGATCCAACTCGTGAGAGAAGCTTTTAATATCGCGGTGCTTCTTGCCAACACTTTTAGTCATTCTCAAAAGCGCTTGAAATCGAGGTGATTCTGTTGGACTCTGCAGACAATGATCACCGCAGCTATTACAGTAAGTAAATATAACTTCACCACCAGATGATGAAACTTAGGAGAATCAAAACCCTCGTATTTGCTTGCAGTCACGTGAATACAATATATAACCAAGAAATTTACACAAAGAACGAGACTGACGAACAAGTGAGGACTAGAGTACGACAAAAAATAAATGAAAACAAAAAAGAAGTTAATACTAGGACAATGATATGATGCTGAATAAAATTCACAGTATAAATTGAAAAAATACTTTACGACCAATATGAAATAATTATCATCTATGAACAAAACAGAATTCTATTGCAAGGAAAGACAGAGCACTGCACATTGTCCACCGGAATAACACACAAAACTCAAATTAAATAAATAAACAAACAAACAAATAAAATCCAAGCTCATAGAGTTTCTGATTATGATTTGAATTATACTTATGGTTATAATTATGAAAGAAGAGGAAGAAAAGGAAAAGAAAAGTCTAGCAGATTAGGAACCTCGGCTTCTGCATCACCCTCTGCACCTATACGTGAGGGACTCCTCTGATCTGCAAACACCCCCAGGCCACCAAATGAGCAATAGCAATTCTTAGTGACACTTCACCTATTCAAACACAAACTATACGAGCCCGTGAAAGGCTATAGACGATGATGAGAAATCTTGTAAGGTAAAGCTCCAGAGCTGCATTTTAATCTGCTACTGATAGGAAAACGCCAGGAGGAACAACAAATTGCAAATGTTACAAACCACACACTCATGTCAAACAGAACACACTTTGTTTTTTGTGTCCCTATATTACCATTTCTCACTAATGTATGTAGCTATGAGAAGTAGCATTAACATCGTGAGTATGTTAAACTTATGAAACGGTTCCAGTTAAGCGAGCATTCATATTGAATCATGACTTTGATTCTTCAATGAAGACTAGAGGAGTTTAAGTCCCCAATGCCGTCATTCATAAAAAATAACTTGGAGAAACTTGTAAAATGCACTGACGTGAGGATTCATACTAAACCTGTACAATCCCACTCAAGCAGCAGGTTCTCATTTCCTACGATATCTACTTCATAACAAACTTCAAGCGCTTCCACCAGAAAGCAACGTAGAAAGAGAAAATTTATTGATGACCTGTCCTTTCCAACAGTCATTTCCAATCGCAAAACGTCGGATTATTTTACCTTGTGAGCACACATGTGATTCATATATACTGCCGGAACCTCCTTCCCCACGATATGAGGATTCGGTTGCTGAAGAGCTCACTTGACCGTCATCCCAAGTGCTCCCAAATGGGTTCCCCATCTGCGAGGCACTACCATTTCTATGACCTTCAAGCTTAAGACCCGATCCATACATACGCCCACCGAGATCACCGATTCTCGAACTTCTTTGTAATTTCCTTTGACTCAAAGACTCGGGACTAGCATCGGATCGCGGACTTCCTTCCATTTCCGATGCATCTGCATGCATGAAAACTCTTCCTCCGCTATTCTGGCCGTTTTCTTCGGCTGTAGTGAAGTCCGTGGGAGAGACCGAATCCTGAGCATGCACCTTAGAGGCCTTCCGCACTCCTGACACAAGTCTAGTTGATGACTCTCCTTTTGACCAACTGTTCACAGCTTTATCCTGTCCTTGTCTACTCTCGTTCCCTGCATCGAATCGGCTCTGGAAAGTTCCTGCATACACAGGACCTGAGCGAGTGCTGGGGGGGAAAAGTAGAGGACCTGACCGCGTCTTAATGGGGTGGAGGCCCAGAAGAGATGTCGCAAGGCGGAAATCCTCGTCCGGAATAGGATCAGAAATTGTCATTTCCAATTCTTCATCAATATGCCCCTTCCCAGAGGTTAAACCCTTGCTCTTTTCCTTACTTTCTTTCACTCTCTCCTTCCATTTTTCTTTCCCTTCTTTTGCAGATTTATCCTTTCCATCCTTAACCGGCTTCTCATCAGCAACATCATCCTTGAGCCAGCTAGGCAAGCTGCCTGCATTCCGTCTACCACCTTTGACGTTACCGACAACATCTTCCACACTCTGCTTCTTTTTTTTATTTGCGGAGTCCTTGCTCACAATGAGCCCAACAGCTGCCCTGCCAAATGGTCCCATAAGACCAGGATGACAAACTCCCAACTGTAGTTTCGGAAGAGTGCCTTTAAATACCTTAATGCTTAAGTTGATCAAAATATTCGTAATTGTGCATCACCTCACTCTCGCTGCACATGTCGCAATCAAAATTTGGCATCTCTATTTTCTACGAACCTAACTGATTTAGAGCTTCTACCTCGCACCGAAGAATCTAAATTTAAATTGCCTTGATTGTTACGACCCGCTTGGTTGTGATACGAGCCAACAGCCTCCTGATTTTGCTACCATGAAGCACCCAGAGTATCTCAGATCGCAGCTTCTCACAAAGTTAGATTCTGAAAAAAGCAGCCATATACTAGCATCATACACTCTCCCCACAGAAGCTCGACCCTCTTGCTCTACTTCCTCTCTATACAACCAACACCTAATAATCTTGCATAAAGATCAACTCCACAGATACTGAAGAAACCCCTCGTGAAGCCAAGAATTGGAGACTTCCTGTTGCACCAAATACTGAACGCATCTCATCATGTGGCAGAGAATTGACCAAGTTGCTAGATGGCAGCTGCTAATACCTGATACATACACGAGTAAATCGATCCGTTAAGATCTCCAATTGGAAGCGTTGAGTGCAAAGCAACCCGTGGTCCACGGCAGGCCTCGCATCCGACAAATCTCAAGAACAATGAACAGACTCAGCATCCTTTGTTTCCCGTTAAAATACACTCTTCAAGCAATTAAAGCAAGATCAACAAAAAAAACAAAAACGGGTCAAAATTCAACACAATTAGCTGCCACTGTGCAAAGTCAACACATCTGCTCCCTCAGCCCCTCAACTCGCACATTCCCCCAATACACACCCCGAATTAACAGACACAAAGCTCCGAATCACCCGACTCACTAGCGCTGGTAACTGTGATCCAACGGGATAGACACCAAAAGCGACCATCTCTTCACCTCCGCAATACTGTTCCCCACGTCCAAATACTTCCTCCCTCCATTCCACACCCCTGCACTGTCGGATCATACCCGAACTCGAACTCTCTCCTCCGCAGCACGCCTCACCCCACACACGCACCACCATCCTGCACACCTCCCCCTTCCAACTCTTCTCCCCACCTCCCAGATCTCTCTCCACTACCACACAATCTCCCAATCTAACCCTAACTCCTCTCCAAAACCTCTCCAACGCCGAAATTATCAAACCCACCAGTCGCGCCAGTAACCACCGCCATTGCAGCACCCACTTTTCCACCTCAAAAAGACGGGTCAAAAAAACACAAACACAATCGCGTCTCCACTACCTCTCCACCACCTCACAAATTTCCACGCAACATGCTCACTCCTTCCTCCCCCTCCCTCCCTTCCCGTGCGAATCAGACGTTGTCCCCCCGGCTACTACTCATGGCTAACCTCCCTCCCTCCCTTCCTCCCTCCTTCCCTCCCTCCTTGGCAAACAACGACGACGACGATGCAATCTGGCGATGACGACGAATAGGAGGGAGGAGGCAACTGGAGCAGAGCAGACTTCTTTTCTTTGGCTGACTGGGGGAGTTGGAATTTGAGGTGGTGCGCAACAAGATGGGAGATGAGATGGGAGATGGAGATGGTGCTGGCAATGGAAGCACATGGGACAGTGGAGCTAAACCCGGTGCGGCAATGATGGCTCGGTCGCGCCTTGCCTGTCTGCCTAGTCTCGCTCCCTCTCTCTCTTTCTGACACTTACTCCACGCACTCCCTCTTCCCCGGGCACCGGCCTTCGCGCCGCACACGCATACCGTCCAGTCCACGACTCTGGATGGATGGATGGATGGTGTTCTTCGTCCATCCGCTCTCTTCACGGGTCTCGTGGACCTTCGCGGACTGCTTTGGAGTCCTTGGGATGATATCCGTCAATTTGCTTCATGCCCGCATTAATGTCGGGCAGGATATTAGAGTAGGAACACGCCCCCAAGCCCGATGGCACATCGACGGCCCCACCGCGTGACAGGTCATCTGAACGGCTTCCATTCATCTATCACGGATGCGGATGGAACGTCTTCGTTGATGATCGATGGATGGGTGGACGGATGAATGATTCTGCTCTCCCTTCCCTGTTCTGGTCTTGACCAAGATTTGACTGACCTTGGATTTTAGGCTCTGGACCCACTTACTCATTCCAAATATATATGAATATGTGTGTAGCTATGCACTAGGCTTTGGACTTTAGCACCATGCTACATACATGCCTTGCTAGATAAGGAATGGGTTTACCCCCCCCTCCTTTGGATTGGGGAGATTATTCTTCTTGAAAGATGTGCTGCCAAGTGAGTGTGGGAGCTATAGAGTAACTACATGAGGTGTTTCCATTCTAATGGCAAGTGGGATGGATGAATAGATTCATAGATATATATATATATATATATATATATAGTTATTTCCATGGTTATTTAAATAATATGAATAGGTAGAAGTAGATAAAAGTAGATTAATTTGATAATATCTTATAAGAAAGCTTCATAGACATGGTTTTACATTTATATGTGTCTATAAGTGATTGATAGGTTGAACATTTGGCCAACAAGTTAGCTATGTATCACATATGTTAGTAGCTTATGGTATAAGTTAACCATGTGGCGCACATATAGAAAACTTGCCTTGTAAGTTAAAACATATGTCTCGTAAATTGGACATGTGTTTGAAGTCCTATAAAACATTGCTATATAGCTCTTAATTAGATAATATATATAAAGACAAAAGTGAAGCCTTCTTCACTCTTGTCAATTCCTTTCTTGCTTCTAATTTAGTTTCAAGAGTCTCTAGATTTTTAGGCTTTGGCAATAGCCATTCTAATTTCTTCTTGAATATACATACTATCTTGTTATCATTTTTTCATCTTTCTTTGATACTTATCTTACTTGGTTATATATCTTCTTTGGGTTCTTATTCTTAATACATAATAACTAAGTGTAATCCATTACAAAATCTTCGACACAAAGTCATGTTTTACAATAATATAACAAGACATCCTACATTTAGCTCTAAGCTAAATAGTGGCAATTCAAATAGACTTAGTTTTTTAAATATTTGATTGAATAATAATTACTATTGTCCATACCATCTTCTATAATTGTAATATTTGCATTCAAATAAACACGTAAAATTTCTAAAATTCTTTCTATAACATGCACATTTAAATCATCAAAATCCTAATTTTGCACAAAAATAAATAGACTTGTTGGTGAAATATTCATCTCCAAGTGTTCCATCTTCATCTAGTTCCAAAAATATAGCTTAAATTAAATAATTTTATATTAGACATACTTCTATATATTTTAGAAGAATTACTATATTTCTTAATGGATCTACAATAATTGATTCATTTATAATTTAAAATATAAAATATTCTTAGATATACTAAATATAAATATTATACTAAAAATATATATTTTATCACTTTAAAACTTCATTGTTGTATTATAAATAAATTTTTTCACTTTTTACTAGTCCTTCCAAAAAATATAAGTTTCTAAGATTATTAAATAGTGAAGCAAGGATATCTAAATATATAGTATGTTGTTCATCATTAAACTTTGATACACGTTCTTTTACTATTTATTTTAGTTTATCACAATTCATATCAAATATTCCATAAACATTTGATTTGTAGTATTTTTATTCCAATTCTTTTGCTACAATGACATCAATGGAAAGTCAACAGATATTTTGCTTGATCCTCAAAGAATTATATCAAGAAGAAATAGTCCATAATTTAATATTTTATTTTATTTTATTTTTGTCTTTCAATTCTATAATTTGGGACAATTGATAAGCCACATAATTATAAAAACTCTCTTAAAACTTATCTCATAGCTCTTCTAGATGTATAGGTGAACATTGAAGAAGGATAATAGCAAATAATGCTCTTTATTACTTCTTTGTTTTCATTATAAAGGCTTCTTCTAAGCATTGATTCAACTCTTTGTCATCTTCTACCAATTCCATTTTTAAGCATATAGTCTTGAAATTTGGTTGAAGTATTCCATTTACAATACTTAAATTTTTAAATGAATGTAGTCTATGTACCATCATTAGAAGAAGTCAAAGATAGATTTTTTTTTCATGGTAGGATTCACAAAATATAACCTTCTAATTACAAATTCACATTGTTTTAGTGTCCACTTCTTTGAGGTCTTATTCCACACAAAATGATGTAAAAGCTTATGATACTTGTATTGCCGTGCAATCTCCATAGATTTATATATTTCAAAAAATATTCAAAAAGTTATTTTTTCCACTTTTCACAAGCTAAGACTTTAGTTACATCATTATGTGGATAAAAAAATTACTTGATGCATTTCAAGAAGATGTAACACCTATTGAACTATGTTTAAAACTTCCTCCAACATCTTAATTATAAACAAATGTCATCCTGCCTCTAAAACTTCAATTTATTATACATCAATATATTGCATGCTTTCATCCTCTTTATTTCTAATTTACATTATTGTGCAATCATGTCATTTATAAATATACTTGTGAATATAATTTATAGTACAAACTAAAGCATAAACTTCAATGTTGATATGATAGTTATATTTTTATTAAAAACAAAATTATAAGAAACAACATCTTAATTTTTTACAATATGATTGCTAATGTTGAAAGTTCTTCCATCATTCTTTAAATGATATTGGCAATAGCCATCACCATCTATTATGTTACTTCTAAATATTCTTGATATTCATACAATCTTACTTGAATCTTAAAATTAACATCTTATTTCTTGTTTTACAACAACAACAATAAGAATAACAAAAGAGAAAACAAAGACAACTTAAGAATTGGCATTTCTTAGTTTCAGAAAAAGACGAGCTCCAATAGACAGTCTTGCTATCTATGATCAAAGATTTCATATGATTATTACAAAGCAAATTATGAAAATTTGATTGTCAAAAAAACATTGCAAGTAGTTGAATCCTAAGCAACAATTAAATAATTGGTTGTTGGTTCTTTTATCTTAGAATTGATCCACTACTCAATCGATGCCATGGATTATACAAAATACTCCAATGAAGACTTGGCAAGAGATTAGAAGAAATGGAAGGAAGCTCAGAGATATCATTGATCAAGATTTGCGCCCCATACTAATTGATTCATTAACATCAATCATCTCAAATCCTAAAATAATACACCAAGTCAATCAAAATCACATCCCAGATCCACCATGACGCCACTATGCTATCAATTCTTTGATCTAATATCAAGATAGATTCAAATCTTGTAAGAATGAAGGCCTAAATGAGTTTGGTAGGTACAAAACATCAAAGAGCCACTTAAAATAGAGTCACTTTCAACATTAAAGAAGAAATTAGAAAAGAGTTATCTAGTTGATCCAATCTTGCCAATACTTAATACAATCTTTTAATAGCTCCAGATCTTGTAAGAAGAAGATAGTGATGGATTTTGTCTCACAATAGAGAGCATAATTTAATGGCAAGCACAAATCAACCATCAAAATCACAATATTAGTAGACAAAGAAATAAGAAATCTTCAAAGTCCCAATAACTCAATTCTTAGAATACTAAAGTTTCCAACCACTTTATGTTTTCCAAGTTCTTTGCATTCTCTTCTCAACACCCAATGAAAATGCATCTTTGTCTCTTTAACTTATATCCAAGGTAATTTATATAGTAGAAATATGTGTATGTATGTATATATATATATATATATATATATAAACAAGATTTTTCCTAGATCAATAAAATAGTTGAAAGAGAATTCAAAAGATGCAAATACAAGCCAATATTTTTTTCACAATTGGATGAATTTAAAGACCAATGAGCATGGCATTTGACGTATCTGTAATTTATGCTTGAATACTTTTTGCAAAGAGAATATAAAGCCAAGGGAGTTTTATTGAATCTCATACCATCTAAAACTTCCTTCCTATGTCTTCTACACAGTCCAACAAAACATCTTCAATCTTTATGTGAATGTACGTTACCAAAGTTCAAGATAAATTATACAATGTACTTTTGAAATTATAGGAGTCCTACATAAAGTTAATGCATTCTTTCATTGCTTATTTTATTTTATTTTTATGTATCTTGAGTTGAAAATAAATCAAAATTTACTTTTTGTACTAGTTATGAAATTTCCCTCCCACATACAGGAGGATTATTATTTTATTTTTTTCATTTTAATATATTTAATTCACCACAGGTTCACCCAAAGAAATTTACAGTACAGTAACATGCTACATTTATGTTACTCTTTAAGAGAAACTTCCACATGTGGGTGAAAATTCATTTAAGTGAAGTATTAAGTGAAGTGATATTTGTTTTAATTTAAAGCTACTATTATCTCTGGATGAAGCATTTTTTTTATAAAAATTAGTATGCTGGGACTAAAAAAATTTATAGGATTTATAATGAATCATAACGAAATTTGGGCAACATCATTCTCATATCCAAAAACCATTTCATGTGGAAAGTTTCAGTGTGTAGAAATTTATAGTAGTATTTGTTTGCTATTCTTTAACCATGCTGTGTATTATACAACTATAACCAAATGTTTCAAAAAAAAAAAATATGCTTCAATAATACAACACGTATTTTTGGTGTGTTCTCAAAATTTTGAATCACTCATTGATTTTAGAAGGAGCGTGCATGATGAAAATTTCAGTTCCCAATCTTACAAAGGGTTCAGAAACACACAGAGCAATCACCTTTTTTTATCTTTTATTATTGTTTTCTAGAATTCCTTGAAACGAGTGAGGGAGTCACTGATTCCAGACGTTTAGCAGATAAAGATATAAAGAAATCATAAGTACTAGAGAAAAGATTAAATACAGCAGAATTCACAGGATTATTTTATTTCAGAAGCAACACATGACCTTCATATGTTGCAGACAAAAGACTTGTAGGACGCCCGAGAATTGAAGCTTTGCTTATTGCAACGAAGTTGCGTTCAGTCAAAGACTGAGTCAGAATGTTTTAAATCCATATTTGGAATTTGTCAGTGATGATCTCAGCATGAACTTTAAGTTTCAAGGTGATGTCTACTCTCACAGAACTTCTTCACAGCATCATTTTATACACAAGATTACGATTAATGCAGAAAGATTGTTTTGATTCACAATCACACGAACTAGTTGAATTTTGAAGTTGGCCAAGCTTCGACGCAACATTTTTGTACTCAATGATATTTTTACAACACCGTTACATGCGATTGATGGAATAATACGATTTGTTTGTGAAAAGTACCACATTGAGAATGACGTTATCATCAAACCATGGTGCAAGAAGTAGTTCGTTAATATATTGCGCACCGGTATTGGGAAATGTGACACACAGTAATAAAATAAATAAAAACCTTAAATCCTGGTGTACATGCAAACTCATAAATCGATCAGATTATGACGAATGTCCTTAAAAGGCACTCGATTCACATGAAGCAACAAGCATCAAAACCCCTCCGAAAACCTTCTGGATATGCAAAACGTGTTCTGTAATAGAAATTCAAAGATGACCGTAACATGAACGCTGGCGATGGAAATTATTTTCGAGGTAAGTTGGAATTTATGTAGCTGATATGATTGGAGCCAGTAGGAGATCAAAAGTATCCTGCACAGGAGATAGGAGCATCTGTACCGCTTGTGCTACCGAGATTATTTCCAACAGATGGTCTACAAGCGTTAAAAGAAAGAAATTTCCCAAAAAAAACTCCCATTAATAGAATTACTGGGAGGTCCCTTGTTTGGCCATGTGTACAATCAGGTCCACCACACGGTTGCTGCATCCATAGAAAAAAAACCCAGAAAGTATTATACAGAAATCCTACCAAAATGTTGAATCTTGAAAATCGAACAACACCGTGCAAGTAGACATGTATCACAAGTTTGCCACTCTGGGAAACACCGAATCAATAATAGGTACTAAAAAGAGCATTCTCTCATATCTATGTAAGGGTAGCAGATTGCTTTACCTGTAACCCCACTCATTGTCGTACCACGCAACAAGCTTCACAAAGGTGTCGCTAAGGGCAATTCCAGCCTTGGCATCAAAGATGCTTGACCTGCTGTCGGTAATGAAGTCGGTGGACACCACATCGTCTTCGGTGTAACCCAAAATACCCTTCATCTGGCCTTCCGACGCCTCCCTGTTGTAAGAAGATCAAATAATTAGGTATTGAATACAGAAGTTTTACGCCTGCTTAAAACCTGATGTCAAATGCAGTGCCAGCACTAAGTGTACACAAAGTCGATGGACAACTAACAGAAAATCAAGTCAGAAATCCAAACGGAAACAAGCACTTACTTGATAGCCGTCTTAATGGCATCGTAGGAGGCAGGCTTCTCAAGCCTGACGGTGAGATCCACCACAGAGACATCTGTAGTGGGGACACGGAAGGCCATTCCCGTGAGCTTTCCATTCAACTCCGGCAACACCTTGCCCACGGCCTTAGCAGCTCCAGTAGCACTGGGGATGATGTTGGTGGCAGCACTGCGTCCACCTCGCCAATCCTTGCTTGAAGGACCATCGACGGTCTTCTGTGTGGCTGCAAGTGAAAGCAAATCAACGAAAAAAAATATATATATATTACATTCATACGTTTAACACGAAACTAGGAGATAGTGATTAATACTCCAAATCGTGCAATACAATTCCATACCTAAATACTACCAGTCAGAGAAGCCAAAAACAAGCTCTAAAACGTTGGAGGAAGTTTCAATAGCTCATGATAACCCAAATTCGGTGAGATACCTGTGGTAGCATGCACGGTGGTCATCAGACCCTCCAAGATTCCGAACTTGTCGTTGATCACCTGATTTCAACACACTCGCTGGTTAGAACCATAAATTCGAAAAACTTAGAAGGCATGATGCAAGCGCCTTTTCTAAGTCAAATGCTCAATAAATGGCAGGAAATGGTGCATGGTAATTCATCAACACTCAAATTGCTGTACTAGAAGGTGAGTAAGCAAATCCTAAGCGGTACCTTTGCAAGAGGCGCAAGGCAGTTTGTGGTGCAGCTGGCGTTAGAAACAATGTCCTCGTCGGAGTATTTGTTCTCGTTGACGCCCATGACGAACATTGGAGCATCTTTGCTGGGAGCAGAAATCACAACCTTCTTGGCTCCACCCTATACAAACTAACACTGAGTATGAAGCTCCCGTGGAGGTATTTTGCGGGGAGCTTAATTCTTAGGGGACATTTTCCTATCATTGCAAATAAATAGCATCCTGGAAACGCAGTTGACCCTTAATCTTATTTGGTACAACAAAGTTGTAAATTCGAACAAGATACATAACGTAAAATTACCAATTGTGTAAATTGAAAAATAAAGAGAAAGAGGAATCCTAAGGATTTCCTAAAATGGAGAGGTTACTATATTTTTGAGAACTGAAGGTGAAACAAAAATTCGTTGTTACAAAAAAGCGTATCATCACATTTTACCTTGAGATGAGCAGCAGCCTTGTCCTTGTCGGTGAAGACGCCAGTGGACTCCACAACGAAATCAGCTCCATGCTTGCCCCACGGGATCTCAGAAGGGTCCCTACACGTAAAATATGCAGAAAAACATGTGTAAGGCCATTTGTTCCAATGCTTTAAATGTGTTGAATACAGTGTTGGTCACAAATAACCAGATGGAGAGATGATTATTCTTCCTACCTGCAAGCATAGACAGCTACTGGGTTACCACCAAAGGTCAAGTGGCCTTCAGAGTGAAGAGTCACTTCTGTCTTCTTCCATTGTCCGTGTGTGCTGTCATACTTGAACATGTAAGTCTGAGGAAACCAAAGCACCAAATAGCATTAGAAATCAGAGTATTATATCTATACGTATATATATGTAAACTCAAAATATGACAATAAAAAATTGAAATGAAAAAATAAAGCTCCGTAATTCAAGACTAGTATTGAGCCAGAAACAATGCACCATTATCAAAATAATGAAGGAGTAATGTGCAGATATTTTCTAGGGGTTTGAAATCATCAGTTCCTGAGGAAAAGTAATTTACCATGTATTCGGGAGTAATAAAAGGGTCGTTGATGGCTACTAATTCAATGTCATCGCGCTCAAGGGCAACTCTGGCCACCAATCGGCCGATACGACCAAAACCTTGATTTAAAAATAAAAATAAAAAAAAAGTCTCTTGTTAATCAAAATGCTGAATGAATGTTGCTCAGTTGACCAACCATTAGTTAAATTTATCCAGAGGCTGTGATACCACACTGAAGCTAGAGAGAATGACAAGACGTACCATTGATTCCGACCTTGATCTTAGCCGATCCCACTGTTACACCAAAACGCTCTTTCAGTACACGTGTATCCCCAACAAATAAATTTCAAATACGATGAAATAAGTTGTCTTTTACAGATATCGAACGTCAGCACGAGGAGACTAAAATAAGTACCAGAAAGAAGTCACACGGCCATGTGATTATTGAAGCAATTCAGATTCTTGCAAGTGCGAGTGCACATCAATAAGAGACTTACCCATGATTACAAACTTCAAACGTCCTTCCTCTTAGATCTGGAAGATAAATAAACGAGAACAAAAAAAAAATGAGTGAAAACTCAGAAGAAAAAGAAGTAACAATAACAATTGCTTATTTCTGCAGTTGAGTGACTCTTAATCTGCATATTTTCTAAGCAGAAACATGAACAATGAAAGGAGGTCCGCTCCTTCAGATTTTCTGGACACTCACAAAAGTCAACGAACAGCCACATATCACTAAAAAAAAAAGCAACAAACTACATTCCTAATATTGAAGATCTCTAACTTTGCCGGTTCACCAAATCAACCCACTTCCACCTAGAAAAACAGAGCACACCACATGACTGAGAGAAAAAGAAAAAGAAAAAGAAAAAAAACACACACTCACAACGAAGTCCGAAGCTACGATACATAGAACGTGCACGCGCGCGCACACAAACAAACAAACAAACAAACGCCAACTCGCAAACCATCTTCGAACAGCGACAAAACTTCCAACACCGATCCCACCTTCTAGCTCCAAAAACGCTCCTCCAATACCCAATTCACGGCACCAAGCACTAAAACAACGAACCAAGACACCCGCACCACGATCGGACCCGAAGGAACACGAAACACGGGAGCAAGCAGACAATCGACAAGCAGAAGCTGACTGAAAAACCACCTTGAACGTAACCAAAAACGCTCCAAACGCAACGGTTGCTAACTGGATTGTATCGCAAGAGATCAAAGCAAAACACAAAATTTGAGAAACGGGTACAGAAGAGGAGGCATATATTGGGCTACGACGGTGGAGCTGGTAGCCAGAACATGCATGCAGGCTTCGATCGCAAGCGACCATCACTTCCCCCTCGCTCGCCTTCTCTCTGCTGAGACGGCGATCGCCTCGGCTCTGCTGTGGTTCCTTGCACTGCTTGGCCTGGGCCGAACCGAACCTCTCCCGAGCCTACACCGGGCCTACCCCGAGCCTATCCTACGTATTGTAGGACCTGCCAAATTTAGCTCCGGACATTCGTTCGGACCCGAACGCAGCACCGCCACGTGTCCATATTCTTAGGTGAGTACTCTCTGATATTTACGTATAAAGTATTTCGTATTGTACTTTGGTATTTTGTACCGTATTTGTGTGTGTTTTTTTGGCTTTGAAACCTTCTGTGTCGAGCTTGCTTGGATTGACCTCATGGTGGCTTGCGACGGGGCGTGGATGAATGTGGATGAAAACGAGCTTGCCGTGGTTGTTGATGAATTTGTTTCGGTTCTGTTCGTCGTCTTTAATTTAATGATAATATTAATCAGGAGTGGATGTTGTAGGTTGTGTTTATTGACGTTGAGGTGTTTTCATCCATCGATGAATATGAAGTTTTATTTTACTTTATTTTATTTTAAAAACCTTTTCGCTTGTGATCTGCACATTTGGATTTATCTTCTGCAGCACAAAATTATTATTATTATTATTATTATTATATTTTAATGATATCTATTTATTCTTTGAAATTGCTACAATGATCTTAAGGAAGTTTTCATTTGGGAAGGCGACCATTTTACGATGAGGATTTTAATTGCTAGTGTCTTTGATGCAAAATGTGTGTGTGTGTGTGCCATCCTTTTGGTGGTTTTCAACCAAATTGTGTCTTTCTTGAAAAATATAAGATTTTTTTTTTTTGTCTTTAGTATAAATTATTTTTAAAAATATTTTGTAATCTAAAAAAGAAATAAGAAAAATGTTAATCATTTCAAAGAGACATCAATTTTTATTCTTTCATTGATCATAAATAATTAATTACAAATTTAGATTTTAACCTGTAAATCGAAATGTAACAATTTTGATTTTCTGATATTAACAAAGTATGAATATCTACAATTTCACTTATGTGTGTGTTCTTATTTGAAAGACAACAATTTATTACTCAACTCATAAGTTTTTTAGTAACTCATGGTCTTATGCTTACTATCCAAATTGTTACATGTAATTGCATACAAAAAAATGTTCAAGGGATTTGCCATCAAAACTTATAGAATAATTGTTTACCATATACTAAAAAAGAATGAAAACTCAGACGATATTTGATGATATTAGAATAATGAGAAATTATTGTCAAAAACACTATATTCTCTTGTACCAAAACATTCTATTAAAATTTTCATCATAAATTGTTATATAAATTTCTAAAGTGGATGTATGTAGTTGTCAAGTGCAAAGTGTTATGTCATTTCGTTAAATTTAAGGTAGTGCTTAGGTATATGAAAGTTATAAGAGTATTCAATGTAGTTCCTTTCAAAGTTTTAATAATATTTATAAACATTGGTGCTCTTCATGGACTACATTACAATTTGGTACATTTTTATTATAATACATACATAAATATCATTTAAATATTACACTCTTTTGAGAAATTGAACCTACTGTTGCAAAAATACCAAATCAATCAAATTTGATGAGAATAATTTCTTAGTATTTACATATTCGTTCATACATTCATATCAAGTCTTCTTTTCTTTTCTTTTCTTTTTGATACATGTTTGTTATTAAATGACATGTTCCCATCTAAATGGAGTGTAGAGTCAAAAATTTTCAAAGGCATAACAATATAGAGTTCTATGAACCATGCCACTACTTTCATTCATTGTTCATTAACAAATGAGCATGAAAGTCAATTTTTGTTTCTTCACGTTTTCTTAAACGAAGACATTTGGGTCCTTATTTGCAAAATCAATAATGATTTTGTTACATGCATTAAAAAATAAAATTGAAAATGTACTTAAAGCTAGCTCCTGATCTTTATCATATACAGAATAGACTTCATATTTTTCCGACATAGATTTTTATTTATCTTATTTTCCAACATGACATGTTCCAGTGATGGTAGTTTTAAAAAGTAATTTCCTCAAAAATAAAGAGTTGCTGCGTATGTGTATGTGGCATACACTGTAGACAACTTCAGTTCAATCTACGTACTTGGGCACAAAAAAGATTGAGAAAAATATAAAAAACAACACACTAAAGAATAATATTATACTGTGAACAGTTTAATTCAATACACACACACAGATATATATATATATATATATATATGTGTGTGTGTGTGTGTGTGCTCTAAATAGATTGACATATTTAAACATGGCTTGGGAACGGAACATGGGAACGGTGGCCCAGGTCAGAGCAGGATCAACGTCATGAAGGTGCCAAGTGGCCCGGCTTCGAAGGAGCCCAGAAACCGCCGTGAATATGGTTCAATGACCAGGAAACTACCGCCGACGATTCGTCCACGGACGATTGTGATCGTCGACGAAAACCTCGACCCAGCGACAAGGGGAAAATGGAAGACATCGATCGCATGGGAGAATTTTTCTATTCCAACCAGAACCCATATATCGCATCAGGGCATTTCTCCTTGGCGACCAAAATCCATCAATCGCATTGGCGGATTTTTTCTTTAACACCCATAACCCATCGAAATTCATCTCGAAACTGTCGCAGGACTCGACTAGTCCACTGCAACCCCCATTTCGAGTTCCCGGGCGCAGGCTCCATCACGCGCGTAAGCTGATAACCGAGAACAATTCCGCTTCTCGGACAACGAAATTGGCCTACAATCCCGAAGGCATCGATAGATGGGAGTGCCTTAAGCGAGTGCCTGGAGCAATCCGCGCGGTGAGTGTCAGGGCAGCTCACAGTGGTGCTTTTCTGACTCACGGTGGGTGGCACGGCGCTGCACCCTGGCGATGACGGGGCTGGGTTGCCATCCTTCTCATTTCAGTCAATCGCGCCTGACCAAGATAGCAAGTCATGTTGCGTGAGTGCGCTTGGGATTCTCTGAGCCGAACACCACGATCCCAGTGCACCGTCATGGCCACATAATACGTTTCGTCTCTACAGTCATCTTCCTCGGATCTGGTGGCATTGCGTTTATCTTAATGCGGTCGATTGGGATTTTAGGGTGCCACGGTTGTAGCTGGAGTGGCGTGCAACAATACCTACGATGTGCATGGAAACGGTGAACTTTTCTTAGGTGGAGGTAAAAGAAAAAAAGAAAAAAAGAAAAAAAGAAAACAAACCTGAGGTTATATCGTGGTTCGGGTTCATTTTGTTGAGCCAGAGGTCTGCCTGTTCGGCTCAAAGAAGAGACACCACCGTTTTGAGTTTACTCCCCACCATCAGAATGCACCTTTATCTCGCCCACGAGATTATTGTTCGCACTGTTTACTAAGTTTACAATTGCAGCTTTCATCATCCATCTCTTCAATAGAAGATTGCTGCCACGTTTGTAGTCAGAAGGGATAAATAAAACGGCGGTCAAAAGAGTAGAATCAACAGGAGAAACAAGACAGATAGAGGTTGCAGGCATAGCGTGAGCCGAATCAAGAGCTCAATCAGGCGACTCAACTACCTTTGAGCTACGAATGCCAGAATGAAACTCGACCCATCACAACACGCAGTGCAAGCATCCATCACCAGAGAACCTGGGACCCACGGGGGAAATTGGGCACGTGATTTCCCATAATAAGAGACCATTGCAGTCAAGGAGCAGATAAGTCTGAGGGTACGATCAAAGCCCAAATCTGAGCACTTTCCGAAAGTGGTTGTGGTCGACGAAACGGAGAGAGGTCTCTACAAGTGTTGTGTGTGTTACATCAGTCCAAGTGACTATTGAGAAGCCAGATAACACAGAGTTCTATTTTTTTGTTTATATTTGGATGGCAGTGAAAAATTTGGCCTAAGGTTGGAGCACTGATCAACTTGATCAGCTTTTCTCGGTTTATTGAAATGCAACTGACACAAGCATAGGGCGCAGGCGCATTCAAGTTTAGAGAGAAAGTAAGAAGGGGTTTTCGACATATCCCATCTCCAGTTAATGGTGCTGCGTCTGAAAGTAGGACAATCTCAACCCTTCACGAGCTATTATGCCCTTCTCCTTTTGATGCGTTCTAATCTCGTGAGTCGATTTCACCTGGATCTGACGCGGTTTTGGATAACAGATGCGAGTTGCAGCTTGCTTTTCTAGCTGCTGGGTTTCTTTACACCGAGGTGCGATAGGCTTGTGAATCTGTAAGCGGGGATCTACATTGTGTCTCTCCAGATTATTTGCCCCTGTTTGAATGTTACCACACGCGTGGTTGTGATGAGCGGCTTTGCTGATTGCGAGTCGTCTTTAGATGTCCATCTGAGTCTACAAACATTGTGTCGTTGTTGGTTCTCAGTTTAAGCTCTTGGGCACACATTGGAGTTTGTAATATTCCGATCAGCCTCACCAACACGGTAGCTGTAAGAATGTTTGCACCGCTGATGGCGCCATCCCGTAGCAAAGCTTCAGTGAATGCTCTTGTCAGTACCTCTCTGTCGTGACCTCTATGTAGCATAGTCAGTCAACTGTTTCCTGCCATTCCTTCTGAATTTGCAATACATTTTTCGCTTGCGGGTGCGAACTTCACGATAATTGAATAGTGCAATCCTATCAAGCATTCCTTCGCGCGCATCAAATGAGCTTCCTCTCCAAGGTGTGTGTGCTTATAGGGAAGTTGTGCTTAAGGCGACTGAAGACGTAAAACGAGAAAATGAATGGAGGGGATTGCGGTGGGAGTTGCGCCTGTGTAGGCACTGCAGCCCCCAGTATGCAGGTCAGTGTTCCTCCTATCCTTCATCTCCTTTGCAACACAGATCTCAAGCAACTTGTGTGAAATCTCCACCAGGGCGAGGTGTTGGTGTCCAGCTTCTTCACACTCAGATCGGCTTCTAGCTGCTTCTCTCTCGCGCTCTCCTGCATCTCTAAGTTCAAGTATAATTGGTTTGTCTCCTGCTTCTTTGGTTTCTCAGTAACAACAACCAGGGCAACTTATTCATGTGCATGAATAAGATCATACCCAAGTCCTATGTATTGTATGGATCATTGAGGCATGCATGTGTGTGTGCGACTAGGTGCCGGACAGTTCCATGCAGTGCATGGCCACCCCCAAGCCTGTCCTTCTCACCACAACCAAGCACTTGAATGACATCGAAGTGGACTATGGACATGAGGTTCTGGATCACAGCAAAGACGCGAGAGAAATCGCAATCAGTTATGACGCCCGAAACGGAGCACGATGGCGGACTACACATCGCTTCGAATCTGGTAATTTCCATTTCTCTCAATCTGCTTCCTGTCGTCGGCACTCACATTAATAATCCTTCCCAAAGGAATCTTTCGAGCAAAACTCTTCATCAAAATCGCCCCCGCTTAGCCATTGTGCTAGAGTTGCGTGAGAACATAAATTGCTGTGCAGGAATTTTCAGTGCCAAGATCAAAGTTCCAGCCGGCAACACGAGCGGCCTAAACTGCAGCTTCTACTTGTCCTCGTTAGAAGGAGACAAGTTCCAAGACGAAATCGACTTCGAGTTCCTGGGCAAAGACAAGACCATCATCCAAACAAACGTGTACACTGAGGGGGTGGGCAATCGAGAGGAGATTCACCAGCTTGGCTTCGACTCTTCCGAGACATTCCACGAATACGCCATTCACTGGACCCCTACCGAGATTCTTTGGTTCATCGATCAGGTGCAAGTTCGGAAGCATGAACGGAAACCAAACGACGCTTACCCGATGAAGCCCATGTTTCTGTATGCGTCAGTGTGGAATGCAGGCTGGGTGAACAATGGAGAGTGGGCTGGCTGCTACGTAGGCTGCGATGAGCCATATGTGTGCACATACAAAGACGTACAAGTTCCTCATCTCCCTGATCAGTAACCTGACCTCTCTCTCTCTCTCTCTCTCTCTCTCATTCCTCACCAAAATAATCAACAACACCCGATTGTGGCTGTCACTTCTCGTGCTCGAAGCTGCAAAGTGACAGAATCACGAGACATCCACTTGCAAGCGTCACTACGAAGCTTATCCCTTCTGCATGTTTCGACGTCGAAGCATCGATACCGACACCACAAAAGATGTTAGTACCGCTTTGACTATCCACAAAACAACTATTGGAATTGGAATTACTTTTGACACTGGAGCACAGATCCACAGTTGGGACTGTGTGTGGATTTCACCAGGTTGTGGCTCCAGTTTGTAGCAGCCACTTGAAGGCTTGTTGAGTTATGGAGGTGTGTCGCCATCCACATGCATTCTTCCTCGCCACTCACTCGGGATTATTTTGGTGTTGTGTGAAGCATTGTTTGTGTGTACCTGCACATGCAGGAATGCAGTGAAACCATGTGTTCTTTGTTTGTTACCTTTGTTTGGATTTGTGGGTTGTGGCTCCTTTGCTGTGCTTAACCCCACTTCCTCCAAAGATCTTGATACAGTGGTTCTCTTTTGTCAAGTTCAGGTCTTTAGAACAGAATCTTGTGGAGGCACCACTAGTTTCTTGTTGCTACTCTAATTGTTTATTAAAGATGTTTTTCTTTTGGATGGATATTGTTCAATGGAAAAAAAGTAAAAAGAAAAACATTCTTTTTGTGCAATCCAATTTCGAGATATAGAATTTCGATTTCTATTAAATTCAAAATTGCAAGACTTGAAAGGTATTCTATAATCATGAGAGTAAAGAAAAAATTACTTTGGTTGTAGTATTCTATAGTCTTCTATCTTTTCTATTCTATGACATTATTTGTATTCTAATGCATTTTGTAAAAATTAATTTTTACAATCATCTTAATCTTACACCTTCTCTTTTTGAAAACTTGGTTTGGTCTTCTTTCTTTTAAAATCCGTTGTATTAAATAAAATCAATGTAATTATGATTTTTTATGTTTGGTGCATATAATACTGACAGCTTCATTTGTTTACATTGATAATTTGCACAGAGAATATTTTCTTTTTAAACATTTGAGATTTTTACAGACATTGGTAAATTTTATCTAAATGTTTTAGGTGACTTATGTTTCTTTGATGACACAAATAAATGATTGATTGTTTTTAGAATTGTATAAATTATATATATATATATATATATATATATTTATTCTTAAAGTAAATATTTTATTTTTTATATACTATTTTACATTTTAAAATATAAAATTAAGAATTTTTGATTATGCTTTATACAAAAAAATAAAAAATGAAGATTAATTTATCATGAATAATCAAGAATTCATTAATTTAAGATTTAGAATATATATATATATATATATATATATATATATATATCTTAAACATTTATATGTTTGTATGTTCTTTACTTTGTTTTATTTTTTGTCAATATATTTGTGAGTATCTATTTTTAAAATTAACTTAAAACAATTCAAGTCTCTTACATCCAACTCATTGCTTGATTTTTATTAGATATTATTTTATTCTATTTGTACACAATATTTTGTTTTGTGTTTAGATTGAATTTTAGTTGTAATTTTTTTTTTAATGCAATCTACTATCACTAAATAATAGGTCATTTTAAATTTATATTACCAATATTCACCACAATTTCATTGACAACAACCATCATGCTCGCCCCAACTAAAGTAAAACAATGTGGCACAAATGTATCAAGTGGTTTGTCATTTTGTCTCAAACTGCATTTCAAAGCATTGCAACATTTTCATTATAATAAAGCCTCTCATGCACTCTTTCTTCATGCTCTTGCACATCATATATCACTAAATTTATATCCATATGCTCTTGATAAGCTATTTTTAAAGCCCCACAAATGGGATTTGGTGTCTAACTCTCAACATTTAAACAATATTTTGTCTCAATTAAAACAGACATTATCCAACTACATTTAGGAAGATAAAAATGTTTTATAATTAACGGACAAGGTGGAAATTTGTAATTTGTAAATCCTTTAATTGATAAAAATTGAGAAGTTTTTATATTTCAACCAATTGAAGGGTTTGAAAGTTGTGTCCTTTTGCCTTATCTATTAAGTATAAAATCCTTGATTTTTTTAGATAGGTCTAGTTTTTGTTAAACAAAGTTAAGGTAGCATACCTATTCTCAACCACCCCCCATTTTCGATCTATAAGGTGGTGTATTTCTAATTAATTTGACATGGTGATAATGATTAGTTCTCACACCTTATGGTTTTATATTACTTAATTCACATTTTGCCTCAATTCTATGGTGCCATTGGGTAAGAAATGAAGAATTTTATGCCAATTCATAAAATTATTTGGCAAATCAACCATTCTTGATTTTGTAACCAACCACTAGCCAAAATTAGGTTGGCTTATATGTCAGATTTGTGTCAAAGAAAATATTGAACTATAATATTAATAATAATTATGTGTTTAGGCAAAATGATGTGAAAACACTTAGAATCATCTTGATTTCTATTTTCCTATGCAAGTAATTTTTAAATTTTTTCATACACATACTACAAATATACTAAAATGCTTAAGTTATCAAAAATGGGTCAGCTACCTTAGTGGTCCAAACTCTTCTAATGAGGCTCAATCAAAGCTGCAATGGTTTCTCCAAGCATCAGGATTTCTGCTGATATTCCTTTACAGCCTCACTTACTCTCCAATTACATCCACAGCAAGATTGTTCATGAATTCAAGTTACCATTTCGATTGTGAAGAACTCATTTTCTTCTGAACTTCCACAATCTAAACAGCCTTCAGAATATGAAACAGAAGAATAGAGGGCACCACTATAAACTTTCAATTCAAACCCAGTTAATATGAGCAAAATTGAATCCACTCTCTCCCCTTCAAATGGAATTGCACAATTTCCCATGTCTGCTACTGTTGCTGATGAACTGTAATATTAGCTCTTACATGTGTGGGTTTTGAGGGGGAAACAATATGAATGTGACCATGAGGACCCAAAAATGCACACAAAAGAAGAGTGCTGATTTGTGGTGATTCCATCTTTGAAAAGAAGAGTGCTGAACTACAACATCTCACGTTTATTATTATTATTATTTTTTATTTTACTTGTCAACGATTAATATTTCTAAGCATGCTCATGTATTTGAACAGAACTGTGGGACCATTTACTTTTACTTAGATGGGGAGGCGGCTTCTGACAACCAGTGAGCATAGCTTTTGGGATTGCCCTGTTGAATACAATTCTGTTATCTGTGCAGATCTAGACCATGCAAAGTTTAATAGGTATTCAGGTTCAGTAGGTGATGTTTAAGGCTTGGCATTCCATGTTGAGACTAACATGGAGTTACATTTGATGTCAAGCCTAAAGGCCACTGTATTTGATTCACAGAAGCACACAAGCAAAGGTATTCATCTCTCTGTGATATGCAGAACCTAACAGCTGGGAAAAACTATTGAGACATGAGCTGGAATGTTATGAGTTCTATGAAATATTCTTCAAGAGTTATTTCAGTAGAAACTACATTACCTACAACGAAGTCAAAACATCACCTAATCGTGCGAATGTACAGAGAAAGGAATTGAAATGAAAAAAGGACAAAAATATATTCATGGAACTTGTATACTGACACAATGCTTCAAGGAAAGATGTGGGAAAACCAATTCTTCTGAGAAACATTTATAATCGCATTACCTGTGCCTGCTCAGGTAATTTGGGGGCTCGAGTGATTTTCTGCCCATTATACACCACCTAATCTATCACACAGACCACAGGCAGCACCTTACAGCAACTAGTACTCCATGTACACCTCGTAACACCTCTTCATGCGTAGTTTGTGACCTTCGGAAATGCGGCACGATTCCCAATCTCTCAACCATCTTCTTCATAGCCAGTACCTAACTCACTGCTTCCAACACCTTTAGGATATGCTGAAGGGTTTGCAGCTTCACCCTTCTTCTCTTGGCCTCCGAATTTATGTTCTATTCTGGTGAACAATCCTGGCTTTTCTTGTGGCATGGGAGTGATGTAGGACAGCTCAGGATGAGGATCCTTCTTCGCCTGTGCCTCTTCGCCCTTCAGGTAACTCTCAGCTTCTAAAAACTTTCCTTTGATTCTGCCGATCATTGTGGGTTCATCAGCATCCTCACCTGAGAATTGTTTTTTATGCCCTGAATGCCATATGCAGCAACCAAGTCAGTAATATTGTATACCTGAGGACTTCCTCATTAAAAATAAATTTCGTTTATCGGATAGTTCTATACTAATTTAACCTGGTTTTGCAAAGACGAGTCTTCATGAAACCAGCAAGGAAGAAGAGGTTTCTGTCGAAGACTATACCTCCAGCCCCCTTGTCTTTCACCGAAGACAAGTAATCTGCGGTTACTCCAGAAGGCACATCACTGCCAAGTACAGCTGCTGGCAATCCTCCATGCTGTTTTCCTTCTTGAAGTTGCTTTGGATCTGCCGGTGGAATATAGGACAACTCAGGATGAGGGTCCTCTTTATCTGAGCTTTCCTTACCTTTCAGGTGGTTTTCAAAATCTACAACTCTTTCTTTCAGTTTCTGCATCGCGGTTGGACCCGGAGTTTCCTCGTTGTCTGCAGAGTAGCCTGCAAAATCAAGAAATCCAACCTTAAGAAAAATAATTGTAGGGATTTACGCACGAGCAAGCGAAAGCGCAGTAAACTAATTACTTATTTTTTTATAGTAAAGAGCACCGAGAAGCAAACACTGCAGCAAATTATGTTTTACTCCTTACTTCGGATGACTGCGGAAAATTCCTGCTACGAGACTAGCTACAAGCAGCAGATCCCCAACGACTCATTTTCACATGGTACCTTTGAAGATTTTGCCTGAAAAAAGTGAGAACCTCACCGCGTCCACTACACATTTCTCACTATTACGAGCACTATTAACGTTCTCCTCATCACTTCACCTCCCTTAACGATGCGACGTTTACTGTAGCAAAGCTAATTTCACAGTCACATCTGCTCCAAATCTTCGACCTAACATGAAGTCGAACATCCTCAAACTCCATCCCATGGTTCTTAACACAAACAAGTAGCGCACGATCTGCAATCCTCCGCTGAAAGCAACATCGCACAGACTCATCACATAGAATCCGAAGAGAAACAAGGACATAAAACCGGCCTTCGGATCCTGACCCTTCCACTCGAAACCAACACATGCGACCCGGGTTCATAAAAAAACACAAAAGAAAAACTATTCTTGCCATTCTTACCTTCTAAATCCGATTTCCCATCTCTTGAATCAAGACCAGCCATGCCCACCTCCTAAACCCTCAACCCACTTCTTTCTAAGTGTAGATCCAACGCTGTGAACAACAACAACAACAACAACAGCAGCAGCTGCAAATCCTTTCTACCTCCGAGAAAAAAGCACACAACAAAACTCAGCTAAACCCAACAAAGAGTGCAACATGCAATCACGTTTAACCCAATTTGTAGCATGAAGGAAATATGTCTTATTCTAAACAATGCACCATGGATGATGCCACCCAGCCTCTGTGGATAAAACACTTGCTAAACTATAAACAAGAGTGTAAGCAACTGCATAAAAAACACACCCATTTGCACAAAATCAGTGGAAATTATAAGGAAGGACATATACTAAATATACATATATATAAATAGTAGTGCGGGGTGGGGGGGTCTGCGAGGTGGGAAGCTCTGCACAGCCCACTTGGCATTCCCCCCAAACTCTTCAGAAATGTGCCATCTGGTCTTCTTCTTCTGCTGCTTCTTCTTCACATTTGCATTTACCAGACATGCCTCCTGGTTTTCGTTTTTGCGTTATTTTATTGCTTTATTTTTTCTTTTACTTCTTCTTCCACTTCTTCTTATTGTTTTAGTGAAGCGTTGTTTGTGGTTGTGAAGACGTTTCCTCTTTTACCCGGTCTTCACAAAGTTCGGTTGATTGACCTTTTTTTTCCCTCCTGTTGATGCCAAATCCTGTGTTATATATAACTTGTGTGGGTTCCAGAGGTTTGATTTCGAGATTTTGTGGGAATATGTGAAAGGGTTGTGTTTTGCTTGTGTTTTGCAATCCTACCAGTTTAAATACTTAAATTTATACTATATATATATATATATATATATATATTCTACAATCTGATCAAGCATTATACATAAAACATTCACATATGTGACTTTTATTAAATCATTCTAGATTTTATCAACTACTCTATTATGCATACATAAAATGAAATTTATATTTTTGAAAATAAAAGAAGCTATTAATATTTTCCAATTTTTAAATTTAATCATAGGTATTTACATAAACACTTAAATTCACGCTTATTAGTTTTCTGGAGAATTTCCAAGGTTTGTACAAAAAAAACCTTATAAGGATTATATTTTTCTGATTCATTTTTGTCAAAACCAAATTTGGTAACTAATAATATTATACTTAAGCATTGACCCAAATTTATTAAAAAGATTGCACATTTTGATTTACCCTTAGAGGTTCTAGTCCACATATAATGATAATTTAATATAAAACATTATAGTTCATAATTCTTTAATTTTTTTGTCTTTGATTAAACTTCATTTATCATAAACTTAAAACTATACACATAGATCAAATTTTGTAAATGATGCAAAGCTTATAGTTGGTGCATGACAAAATAATTAAATAACACATACTATTATCATAATGTTATTGCCAATATTAAAAGTTTTGCAACTTCAATATAGTTATATAAGAAGGTAAAAGACAAGGGAGATAATTAAAAGAGGAAATAATAATTATGACAAAAATAATCAGTGCAATAAATAACACAATTTCAAAAATTTAAAAATATGTCAAATTCCTTTTTGCAGAAGAAGGTTGGAGATGCAAAGAGTAAGTGCTCTACATCAATCCTTCTTAATATATATATATATATATATATATATATTTCATTACTTCTAGTTGAAGCAGTAAAAAGAATCATCAACAAATTGAGAATTCCCTAACCTCCCTTTGGACCATGTGGGATACCAATTTGTTTTTTTCTTTCTCATTAAATACTTCTCATCTGCTACCCTCTATTAAAAGCATTATCTAACAGTAAATCAAAACTCTGCATTTCAACAACAAAGTTACTAGTATAAAATATGTATATATATATATATATATATATATTTTTTTTTCTTTCATCTATACATCCCTCCAGAGAAAGATAAAACAAAGCAAGCAGACTCATTCATTTTACACACATCATTGATGAATCTCTTCACAAGTTTTGTGCAAAACAAAATGGCTGCTGCAGACACTCTTGTACTGAAAGTGAACCATTGTTTTCTAATCTCCATCATCTGCATGAAAACTCAATGCCCACCTCCACACAGAGTTTGATGCAACAATATTTGAAAATGCATCTACAAAGCTGCAACCCTCAGGTTTGGTTAAAAGCCACCACTGCCAGGTTTGTTTCAGATTCTACACAGAAATCAAATGAACAAAACTATGTATTTCCTATCTCCTTCATTAGAGGATTTATTAAAATGACTAGTGGAAACCCTTGTCATTGGGCACAAAGAAAACATTGTAAACTATGTGTTGTAAATTAACCTTTTGTTTGAAGCTTCATATGACATGAAACTCCATGTTGTATGCCATTCTACTATGTTCCATGTTGTTCCAGGTTGTGGTGCTTCCAAGCTCCACATCTAATAATCTTGCGCTGCTACTCCCAGCAATCTTTAGCAACAACCTGCAAATTTTGATCTTCGATTGATCAAAAGTTGAGTTATTGCTTCACTTTTGATGAAAACAATGAGATATGCAGCCAAATAGAAATGGTTTTTGTTTCCTCCAGTCTATCCCCTTAAGCTCTATTGTATAAAAGATAGGTTAATAGATACTTAGTGTGTTGTGTATCAACCTTGCCCATAAAGTGCAAAATAAAGTTTATGACAATGATCTGCATTTGTGAAGGGTAGAGTGCTTGGTGGATGGGATCCATTTCTTCTGTAGCATTGTTTCTGATGCCAGAAGGTCTTAATTTTCACAAAAAATCTGGCTCATAATGCACTACTAAACCACAATTAATAGCTGCACAGAGTTTGCTTCACAATGGTGATGTATAGAGCTTTGCATGTGTAGAGAGTTGTGGATTGTGTGGAGAGTTTTGTATTGGGAAGGAAGATGTGATTGCTGGTTGTGAGTAGGTGTTTGTTGTGGTATTTGCACCACCCCAACTGGAGAGTAACGGAGGAGTTTCTCATATTTTTAATGTTTTTTTATTATTTTTGTTTTTATAGGAAATTTAAATCTTTTGAAATGTCCATCTCATGTACAATAAGAGGATCTATCAACTTTAGTAGATTCTATTAAATTCTTTCAATCGTCACGCATTTTATTTTTTACTTTATTTTATTTACATTGCAAGAGCGGAAATTAAGTTAGCATTTACTCAATTCAAATTGATTCATTAAAATTTTTGATCTGTTTTATAATGAAAGGAAAATTGTTGCATTTTGGAGATGGTTCCGAGTTGAAATTTTTATACTCATTATTTTTTTTGTTATTAAACATCTAATTTCTGTTACATAATTTCTATTGGAATATAAGGTCATGTGGAATTTTTTTATTATTATCCTTTCACGATTTTTTTAAGAATCTAAATATATATATATATATGAGAAAAATGATTCAATTGAAAAATGAGATCATAAGATGTACATTATGCTACATTCTAAGATAGCTTAGTAAAGAATACAATAAAACACATTGAAAATAAATCTTATAAACTGAATAAGATTTTTTTAATCATTAAAAAATATGTTAAGTATGCAAAAATATCCAAATTTTATAGATAATGTTTTTAAACAAGATTTAGATAATATTATATGGAGTAGAACTAAAAACTTCTTACAAGATGAAATCAAAAAAAGAATATAAATAATAAAAAAACTAGTTTTTATACTTATTCTTAAAAGTTTTTAAAATAATCATATTTCAAAATATAAAATCAAATAAAATGAGGCATTTTAAAACTATCTCACATTAAATTTTATAATTAAATTAGTGTCAAATTTTAATCAAGTCATAGGTTATAAAAACAATATTAAATTTTTTAAGTTTAAAAAGTCTAGAGAATCCATTTGAAAGATATTCAAGAAAAATGGATAAAACATATTTGTAGCTTATATATAAATAAGATATTTTAAACATCTTTGCAATAAATACATTATATTTTCTTAAAAGTACAAATGTACTTTAAACAAAATTCACATAAGACTCTATATGAATTCTTTTAATGTAGAGTTTTTTAAAGAAAGTTTTTTGTTTTAAAATTTTTATCTTTTTTATATTTAATATAATATTCTTAAGACTTCTTGTCAGGGACAAGAATCTCAATGAAAGAAAATCCTCGATACACTCTCATGTCACTTAAGAAAACTAAAAAGTCACTCAAAAGATAATGTAATATTAACTTGAATGGCTATTGCCAAAAACAAGAAGATTAGAAAGTCTTCATACAACACTAAGGACTACAATGGCATTGACAAGAGTGAAGAAGGCTTCACTCTTGCCTCCATATATACTCTTAACTAGGAGCTACATGGCAATGTCCTATAGGACCTCCAAAACATGTTGACTTTGCTAGCCACATGTCTTAACTTGCAAGGTAAGTTATCTATGTATGTGCCACATAGTTAGATTGTTCTATAAGCTATTATGCGAAGTTAACTTGTTCTACAAGCTACGAATACGTGGTTAACTTATTGGCCAAGTTTCTAATCTATGAACACATCTAAAGTCAAAATCACGTCTATAAAGCTTCACTAAAAGACTTTATAAAATTAATCTATATTTATTTACTTCTACCTAATTATAAAAATAATTATTAAGGTAAATGTATATGTCCATGGTATTACCTTCCCTTTAAGAGATGTGTTCTACAAAGAACAATCATTATATGTTGAAGAAATTCAAGATACGGTAAATTATATTTGTAACATACTCCAATCATTGCTCTCTTCAAAGATAGTTGATAAGCCGTCTCAACCATCAATATTGTCCTATACCAGGGTAAGAAGTCCATCCTGTTATTTGGTCATTGTTGTGGCCTTCGTAACTGTTGTTTTCATTGTGTTCAAGCTTCAATATACCAAAGCAATTGAACTAATAGAGGTGGGTTCGAATACGGGGAAAGATTGGTTTTATGAATTGGGTCTGTTAGTGTCACAATTGACTGTACTCTAGCTATCTAAAATCAATTATCAAACTACAAAGCACCAAGGCTTACTACTTCCATCTTAATTCAAAATATAATCCATTCTACAAATATCAATTCAACAATACTTCCATATTCTTATCGGTTCATCTCCCACTTACTCTTTTTGGGGTTTATATATATTCAATTATTGATCTCCTGCTTATTTATTATATTCAGTTTTTCAATTCATCACACAAAATTCAATATCTTCACTTAATACAATACAATTCGATAATCTCAATTCTCAAGGTCATAGATTTATTCCAAAACGGTCAGTCCAAAGTCATATTCTACAATATTCTAATCATAGTTTCAACAATACTTCTCTCAATCACAATTTTTCATAAGAAAATAATAAAAGCATAAAAAAAAAGAGGTAGCACCAA